AACTGTGCATCTGATAGGTTGGCTGTCTCTTGGTCGCTTAGTTGTATTTGCTGTGGAGCTTTGACCAGTTCTTCCATTTGTGCCATTTTTTTTCTTGTCACTCCATACATATATGAGGGGCTGAGCCTTAGGTGTTCACCAGGGCGGGTCAACCCAGTCGCTGGTTTGTGACGTGGTATGTAGGGGCAGGGTCTGAGAGGGAACAATGGAGCTTGCTCCACTCTGCAGGATTTCAGTCCCTTCCACTGCTTCCCCCAAGCAAACTGGGACTTTCTGGTGCTAATTCCTGTGTGGGTGGGCTTGTGCACATTCTAGGACCCTGTGGATCTCTCCAACAAACTGTCCTGTGAGGCTGGGAGTCTCTCCCTGCACCTCAACCCCGACTGGTGTTTTCAATCAGTGCCCCAAGGCTCTATTTCCTGGTGGTGCTGGGACCCTGGGACCGCCTGGCCAGCCAGCCACCTTGAGTGCAGTGCCTCACTTCACAATCGCCACCTCGCTGGGTCTGCCCGTTTTCATCCCAGGCCCAGGGTCTGCCAGCCACTGCCTGCGCCCCAAGGTCTGCCCTGCGGTCTTGCGTGACCCAGATGCATTATGTGCCCCCTGCCACTGCTTTTTGTGCCGCAGCCCCTCTCTGCCTGGTTGCCCGACTCTACCTTTCCTACCGGTTTGGTTGAAATGTGTTTATTTTAATTCCTTGATTGTCTGACTTCCATACAGTTCAAGTTTCTATCAGTTCTGGTTGTTATCTTATTTCTAAATTGTTGCTGTCCTTATTTTGGTTGTGCAGAGGAGGCACAGTGTATCTACCTATACCTCCATCTTGGTCAGAAGTCCTAAGAGCTATTTTCTTTAGAGATACACATGTATAGATTATATATATAGAAATACTTATGAATGAAATGATACAAAGCATGGAATTTGCTTCAAAATATATGGGTGGGTAAAGGTATGGATAAAACAAGATTGTCCATATTGAAGCTGGGTTATGGTAATGGGTACAAGAGAGTTCATTGCATTATTATTTTTATTTTGTAAAGGGCTTATCTTCTAAATATGCCATAGAAAAATTTAGAGATGAAAAGGTACATGAGATTTGCCTCAAAATTATCCAGCTATGGGCAGATGGGTTGAGTGAGTCTCTATAGATGCAGTAAGATCTGTGACTATCAGTCGTTGACACTGAAGCTGAGAGGTAGATACATGGTTTATTACAATATCCTTTCTACTTTTATATGTGATTGATATTTTCCACAATAAAAATTAAAATAGAAAATTCACTATTGCTCTTACAAGAAATGTACTTATTTACCTGGCAAATCATAATAATTATGGGTATAGAGCACTTCATCTGTGAAGGAAAAACACATTAGGAAACAATGCTGTTGCAGATAGCCTCTTTGAAGCATTGCCTCAGTGTATTATATAGCACAGAATAGCTACCCATAAATCTCAGGGGCACAAAACATTTTATCTGCGATGACAGGCTAAGTTTTGTTGCAGTAAAAAGCCACCAAAAAAATCTCAGTGGCATATAACAAGGTTTGTTGTATTCCTCCCACCCCCAACCTCTCCAGAAGTGCTTTGTTCATTGGGATCTCTCATTGACTCAAACTGATGAAGCAGCCATAATATCAAGTCTTGCCTATTGCTGTGCCTGAGGGGAAGCAAGCTCTGGAGTATGTCACATTGGTGAGTAAAGCATCCAGTCTAAAAATGACACATGTCACTTCTCATAATTCATATGCTTCAATCAGTCACATGACTGTATTCAACCACAAGGGGGCCTGGGAGTGCATTGCCATCACATGCCCAGAAGAGAGAACTGGAAATATTTGGCAAAGAATTGCAATGACTTTATTGTTAAAAGAACTTGTGTCATGATGTTGAAGCTGTATCACACTTTAGACCTGGGGATGATTGTACCTTGTTGCCACCTCTCAGACAGCATCTAGACACAAGTGTTCATCTATCCTTTTTGATTATTTTTCTCCTTTGACTCACAGTCATGCAGTATGTTGCATGCAGACTGCAAAAATAAATGCAAGGTAATTGGTTGATTCAGTTATGTAATACTCATCAATACTTTTTAGAAGAAAATGTTCCATTTCCCCCCTTGGATTATTAAAGTAATGTTATTAGAGACAACCTGGAAAATATGGACAGCTAAAAAGAGAGAAATCACTAATAATATCACCTTCAAAATATAATCCAGTTAATATTTTGGTACATTTTTTCCAAAGTTTTCTATCATTAAAAAAACAAAACTAGCTTTCATGCTGTAACTATTTCTTTATTAGTGACATTGCTTCAATAGCTGGTTTAATTGGCCCTGAAACAACAGATAATTATTTATAAGATGTTTTAGCCCCTTTTCTTATAACCTGAGTGTGAAAACATGATTATGTAGTACTTAAATACTAATGGTTAACTAATAGTTCCAGGTTACATTATGTATTTTAGAGAAATGAATCCCTAGTACTAAAATTGCTTGTCAGTGTAAGACCAGTCATGAAACAAATAAATAATTCTAATAGTTATTTTCATTTGCATCTGGTATTTTCTCCACCCATATTATTTATGAAAAGGGAATGCTTTAAAAGTTCATATTACTGTGGAATTTAAGCCTCTTAAAATTAAGATTCTAATTACCTTTCAAAATAAACTGCTGATGATTCAGGCAATGACTAGTTAGTCTAAGAAGTAAATTGGCCAAATATGTTACAATTGGGATGATTTCTTCGAGCCCAGAAGCCATTTGCTTATAAATTGGATCTTCAGAAGTTAAAGATGATACATGGGATTTTTCAGAAATTCTTACTCAAACTTTTCTGAGGACTCTTTTTTGACCCTGCATTTGATGTACAGATTTCTTCATTCTACTCAATAAATGAAATCACAAAAAATTTAATTGACCCAGAATCTATACGAAGATCCCATAATCTTATTATATTACAGCAATCTCTTAACTATATATGGTAGTAAATGAAAGAACAATAGAGTAGCTTGTGAACTTCAAGGCAAAAATCATGAATTATCCCTCTTTATAACACTTACAACTCCTAGCATACTGTACTGCACAGAGGAAACACTAATCAACATATAAATGTGATAACAAAGTACAGTTGCATTTGTATATGAAAGACATTTGTTTGGATAACTTGTTTACTTTCCTTATTGTTATTTCATATAAATCTCTGTATTCTGGAGTATCTCCTTACAATTTGCAGAAGGAAAATTACTGAATTAGTTCATCTGAACATTTCTTAGAATTTGACAAATGACTTTAGAAAATATTTGTCCTAATTTAGATCCCAAACAAAATATGAGTGCTTATTTCATTCTGTTCTCACCAATGGAATTCATTCATATTTTAAACAAGCTGACTGATTAGATCCATGGGAAATAATATCTTTTTGGTCTTCATTATTTAGTTGAACATTAACAAAATACATAGTAGGCACTTAAATTTCCTGTTTTGTGAATTGACTATTCATGTATATACATTTCCCATTTGTCTATTTAAGTCCTTAGTGTTTCTTATTTCTATTATTTGTCCCTCACACTGTACTATGTACTTTTATCCCAAATACGTATATATGTATATGCACACACACACACAGGGTCTGGCACAAAAAACACCCCTTTTTCATTACAAAATCATAAGCCTATAACTCTGTAACATAACAATATCACACTCAAGCACCATATGGCATTTTAAGTGAAATGTTTAAATTAAAACTATAAGTTATTACACCCATATTATTACCCTACCAACCACACTCAAGCACACATTACTTCTGCTGGACCCTGTATACTATTTAACTGTGGTTCCATAAAGACAGTTATCTTATTTTTATTTATGTGTGAACAACACCTAACACAAAGAAAATAAACACTGTGTTTTCCAAAATTATTCTTACTTAGGATAAAATGAGATAATAAGGAAAGCATTTAAGGCAGTGCCTGTCACACAGCAGATGTTCGATAGATTATTTTAAGCAACCAATAAAAGCTTCGCTGTTGAACTAAAACCACAGGCTTCCATTTCAGACTTTAGGGAAATCAAGATTAGAGAAAGGAAATTAACATTGAGTAGATAACAAACTTGTCAATTGCAGATTTAGGATGTGAGCACTGATTCTTAAATTTTTCCCCATAATCACATCTGACTGAAATACTCCTGAGATACTGTGCCTAGTGAAAGTTTTGAAGGGCTAGTTATGAAACCTGAACTGGTAAAACCTTTTCTAAGTTGGTGAGTTCTCCCCCCCCACCCCCCCCACCCAATCATACCTTAATCCCCCCCCCCCACACAGAGATGTCTCTTCTTCCCTCATTTAAATTTTTAAGAAACTTGTGGTAAAAATAGTAAAGCTCAACAAGCACAAATATGCATCGCATGCATGCCATTTTTTTTCCTCTCCATCAGATTAGCTTTTGTTGTTAGAGAGGGAGGCAGCTGTCCTTGTGGCTACTGTTAGAAAAGCAGAACTAAGGCAAGGAGAGGGAAGGACTAGGCCACCGACGGAAACGGCCAGTCAGCTGGAGGGCCTGAAGCTCTGGGAGGGTCAGGAGCATTTTCATTGCAGCCAGGGGAGCGCAGGGGGTTTGCAAAACAAATCTGAAGTAAACAGGTTTTCGAGGACAGAAGCGCGGCGAGCCGGCCGGGTTAGCCGTCAGGCAGGCGGGTGTGTCCGGTGCAGGCCGGATAGCTGAGCCGGCTGAGGATGCTTGAAGCTGAGGGCGAAGGAAGCTGCTTCTAGGTCAGCGAAGGGCAAAGGAGGCCAAACAGTGGCGTGGGTCGCCTCCACATCTCAGTTCTGAATCATCTAGTCAGAAACCGAGGCCAGACCTAAAGCCAACCTTCCGCAATCCCAGTCACCGATGAATCTCCTCAGGCACTTCCGCTAAGAAGCCGAGAGCCCAAGCTCAGGCTCCGTTTCTCAGCGCGCATGCGCCTCGGGAACAGAGAAGCCCAGTCGGCTAGGGAGGGGGCGTGTGAGTCGAAGAAAAGGTTTTGCGCCTGCGCAGTTTGCTCATTTCCCAGATCAGGGGAACTAACCTGGAGCCGACGTTGCATACTCTCGGGACTCCGGTCCGGACCTGCTCATCGCTTCTCGACGCAGAGTCGCAGCGAGTCTCCTGAGAGCTCGGCAGACTGGGGTGTGGGGAGGAGGTAAGAGCCTCCGGTGACAGGCGTCTTGGCTTCTCTTCACTCCTGCTGCCCTCACGGAGGGGGCGGGGTGGCCGCTGGACGCTCTGCCCTAGGGTCTTGGTCTGGCCCTCCTTTTCTTCCGGGGGCCGAGCCTGGTCACCGGACCGGTTCCTTTTCCGATCCCCTTCCGCGGGCCAGAGAATCAAGACCCTCAAACCTCGCGTCCCCGCTATGAAACCTGGAAGACCAGGTCAGGCCTGGAGGGTAATCACGGCGTCTGTTGGCTGTTGACCGGGGGCTACCTACTCAGGTCTCTGGGAGTGCTTGGCACTGCCGAGGGAGTGCCCCCCAGGCCGCAGCGGGTGGCAGCAGGAGCGCCCCCAGGGGTCTGTCGCGCCTGGGGAGCGGCTGCGTATGCCGGAGGGACTCGTTCCTGCCGAGTGGTAGTTTTTTCACTTAAAGGAGTCGACCCCCACCTGAAAATGTCATTGCTGCGGGTACTCTCTTTAAACCCATTCCCGCACAGATCCATTTTCCTCATCATTTTAGACAGGAACGATGAGTTAGTGTTCCTTCTCCATTATCTTTACCCTGGTACCTTAGAAAAAAGGCTAAAAGATGACCTAACTTTTAAACTAGTAACTTGTATTACTGTCATTGCAAATTGTATTCTAGATTAAGGGTGTTCTTGTTAGACTCACGGAAACCAGCCCGTAAGTTTGATACATTAATGGCTTAATTTAACAAAATAGGCGATTTGTTCGTTGAGTTTGGTTCCTTCATTTATTATTTTGAACTTGGAGTCTTTGAATTGGCAGAAGCTGAATGGTTTGATCCAGTAGAAATATTGTATAAATTTGCACCAAATTTCTTTCTTTATTTTCTCCCCTGGATGATAAACTGTATGCTTAGTGTAAAAAAAAATTCTAAATATAATAATGAATAAGGAAAAAAATCAACTCTAAGTCCTTTATTTAAAGGTGATCAACCACAGTTAATATTTTGAGTTTTTATGTTCGAGTCTTTTTTCCATACTATTTTCTTCATTAAAATGAGATTTTTATATGCAATTGGATTAGCTGCTTTTTTGCTTAAAATTATATCTTAAACATTTTCCCATGTGTTAAAAAATCTTTGTAAATGTAACATTTTTTATTACAAATATCTTTTGAAATAGTTACATTATAAATAAAGGTTATCATTCCCAATCATAATGTTACATAATATGATGGTATCATAGTTTATTTAACCAGATGGGTCTAAGGATCTCTTTACACACTTAAAAATTATTAAAGACTAAAAGTTTTGTTTTCTAATGCAGTGTATTTACCATTTTAGAAATGGAAACTCAGAATATTTTAAAATTTTATTTGTTCATTAAAATAATAAACCATTATATATTAAATAATAAACCATTATATAATAATAAACCATTATATATTAAATAATATTGTTGAAAAATATTTTCTTTAGAAATTTAATGAGAAAGGTGACATTGCTTTACATTTTTTGCACATCATTTTAATGTCTGGTTTACTAGAAGATAGCTGGGTTCTCATATCTGCTTCTCTTCAATCTGGTCTACTATCTTATTTAGGCTGAAGCATATTAAGAAACCCCAGCCTTACACTGATGTATACTTGGAAAAGGAAGGACTTTGCAGAACCTCTAAAAAGATCTTGGGGACTTCCTGGGGCCCTCAGACCTTAGTCTGAGAAAGCTGATTTAATCACCTATGTATTGATGAGCTTTTCGAAAGGTTTTTCGAAATTTTACTCTAATACAAATATTGCATGACAAAAGTTCTTTGTGATGTGTTCTTGTGCACAAGTGCTATCATTTCTATAGTAGTAGAATTGCTAGGTCATAGAGTATGTACTTTTTAAAAAATTTTGATAAACACGAACATTACTTTTGATGCCTGCATAATTTTATGCTGTGTTCCAGTGCTGGCATTTAGATTGTTTGAAATAATGATTTGGTGAAATATCCTTGCATATTTTTAGTTGTTTTGGACTATTTTCTTAAATTTCTAGAGTATTTAGATCAAATGTTCATTAATCTTTTTGAGGCTATTGATATTGTCACATTGTTTCACTGAGTGTACCAGTTTATTTCTACCAGTGTGTCTGAGATGCTCTTTTTATATACCCTTACCAACATTGAGTAGTTTTATTATTAAAAAATTATGTTCTGATTTAGTAGGCAACAAATATGTTTTAATTTGCATTAGTTTGATAGTATAAATTGTGTATTGAACATTTTTTTCATAATCTTACAAGTTGTATGCTCATATTATTTGCCCTTTAATAGTCAGTGTCCAGGTGTTTTTCTAACAGATTTTATTACATTTTAATATTGCAAGGATACATGCTATAACTTTTTTAGAAAAGAAAGATTATCTTTTTTCTTGTTTACAAAAATAGTACATTTTTGAGTGAAATACTATAGAGACATATAGATGTAAAAGGTTTATATAATCTCAAATAGATACCATTATTAACAGTTTAGCATTTAACTCTTCTATTGTTTTTTCCTGTGCCTATGATAGTGCTATTTTTTTACAACATACTTGTAATAATCAGTTTGTACTAAGCATGTGGCTTTGCAGTTGTTGCTTTTTTGTCATTTAACATTACATATTGAATATTTTTCTATAGAAATACATCTGATGCTGGGCAAACTTCTATCTAGCATGGCTTTAGGAACACTAATTATGTATGATACTTAGTTATCTGATGTCAGGCTCCTATCCTCTTCTATATTCTCTTCCTAGGTGATCTCTTGCGGCCAGTTCCCTATTCTTTATCTCAGACTTCTCTCCTGCAGTCCAGATCCTTATATCCAACTGCCTATTGGACACCTGCCCCAGGATGTTCTCAAGGTACATCAAACGTGAACTCATGTTTTCCCTCAGTCCTGCCCCTCTTTGTATTTATTGCCTATACTGGTCAGTGGCACTATCTGCATAGTCACCCACAGTGGAAACCTGGCAGCAACCTCAGTGTTCTCCCTTATTTTCACTCTCCAGTAGTTCCTACTCTTTACCCACTTTTATATCTAACTCCTTTCCATCTGTACTGTACTATCTCAGTTCAAGCCCTCATCATTTGTCACCTTAACCATTTTAGGTGTCTCCTTACTACTCTTGTTGATTTTCTGATTAATCTTCCATGTTGCTGCCAGTTTTTTAAATCATGAAGAGATTTTTAAAAGCCATTTTGTAAATATTGTAAATATTTGTTTGTAAATCTGATAGTACATAAATGGCCAATTGAGTAAGCATATTACCTAAAACAGGTTACCATATGTAAGTATGAGAAACTTGTTTAGAACAGGGAGCATATCTTATATTTCTTTTTAAAAAAATATTTTAAAGATTTTATTTTCAGAGAGAGGAGAAGGGTGGGAGAAAGAGAGGGAGAGAAATATAGATGTGCAAGAGAAACATCAGTTGGTTGCCTCCCATTGGAGCCACAATCCAGGCACATATCTCAACCCCAAGGGAACCGGTGACCTTTCACCTTGTGGGATGACGCCCAACAGAGCCACATCAGTCAGAACTCTTTCTTCTTCCCTTTCTTTTTTTAAAGATTTTATTTATTTTTCAACAGAGGGAGAAAGGGAGAAAAACATCAGTGTGCAAGAGAAGTTTTGATTGGTTGCCTCTCGCATGTCCCCTTTTGGGGACTTGGCCTTTAACGCAGGCATGTCCTGACTGGGAATCTAACTTGTGACCTTTTGGTTCCCAGGACAGCGCCCAACACATGGAACTGCCCCAGTCAGGGCAGGGCTTATATTTCTTTTGTATCTTCTGTCCATGGTAGATTACTGGCACAGTGTGTATTAATACATCTTGGTGGACTGAAATGGGAAGTATGTGCAGCTTAAGATTTCATGTGTAGGTTTCAGTGTACATTATTGCTTTATCAAACCTACAAATTTTTGGAATTTGTTATTTTTTAAAAAATATTTTATTTATTTTTAGAGAGAGAGGAAGGGAGGGAGAAAGAGAGAGAAACATCAATGTGTGGTTGCCTCTCGAGCACCCCCTACTGGGGATGTGGCCTGCAACCCAGGCATGTGCCCTAACTGGGAATCTAAACAATGACCCTTTGGTTTGCAGGCCAGCGCTCAGTCTACTGAGCCACAACAGCCAAGGCAGAATACATTATTATTTTGTGATTATTTTACCTTTTTAATATCTTTTAAAGCATCAAATAATATAATGAGTAGTACATTGTTATATAGACAGATATTTTGTGAATATTTATTGAACTCCACAATTTTTTAGAAAAATCCTTTGGCTTTTTCTAATGAGAAATTATTTCTAGACCTTTCAGTTCCTGTGCTTTATTTTTTTTTAATACGTTCTATATTCAGAGTTCCTTTACTATTTTTTACTATTATATTTATTTTTAATGTAATATTTATGTTTATCAAAGGGATACTTGTACATAATCTAAAGAGTTAAGTAATACTATGACTTAATGAAAAATAATAGCTTTCTGTTCTAGTCCTTCTCTCCCCTGCATCCCGTTCTCTAGAAGTATCCTTTCTCAATCATCGTTCCTTATCAGAATCACAAAATACAGAAAATGATTTGAGTAACTATTTTCTCAATTCCCCCAAGGATGGTATATAACTAATAACAATTTAGATGTATAGAAGAGAAATGAACTTACCGTGTAAAGTGAATGCCTTAGGGCAGTAGGGCTTAATTCTCTCACAGAAACCTTATTGAGAAAGGCTTCTCCTGAAGTCAATGGCTATTCAACTGTTTTTTTTACCTCTAATTTTTAAAAATAACATGCTTGCTTATACAGCTCTCTCCCCTCTCTACCCCCATTTTACCATAGTTTTAGATGTTATTTGCCAATTTCCTATTACAGAAAATCAGAGTCTAGTTTTGTTACATCAACCTCCACCTTTAAACACTGCATGGCACTGTTCCATCCCTCTTCTTTATATTCACAAATTAGTTGTGTTAATTTTATTTAAATCATCATTTAGTATTGACATAATTTAATTATGTGAATATTGTGTGATCATGTAAATATTATGTAAAAATTATGTAAATATTGAGTCTGATAGTATATTGTGATGGTATTTCCTTATATAACTTTTTGTTTCTCCTAGAGTTAATAATAATTATTAGCTTTTTTATATATCTATCTTTCCATGTACATCATAATGTGTTTTATATCTTTTTAATATATCTTTTATATCTTCTGTTTAATGTATTAATAACCCTTCAGGCAAGATAGATAAATCTCCTTTTTGTAGATTCAAACACATCAGATCATTTGTTTGTTTTTTTACTTCTTTCCTGTAATTGTCATCATGTGTTAGTCATGATGGGTTACTCTCTAGGCCAATTGCACAGCTTTCTTCCTGGAGTGTCCTTATATACTCTTCAGTGAATTCCATTTGTTTTTCTTTGTGTCAGGTAGTCTTTTTCTAGGATATCAGGTCTTCTGCTTTCTTGGTGTCTCCCTCATGTTAGTAGAGTACATCTTCTAGTAGCTTCTTGAGAAAGATTGAATGGTAGGCAAATTTGGGGGTGGATTCTCACAAGTCTACACATGTTTATTTATTCTACTCTCACACTTGATTGATAGCTTAGCTGAGTATAGAATTCTAGTTTGTAAATTATTTACTTTTAGAATTTTGGAGGCATGGTTCCATTGTTTTCTAGCTTCTAGTGTTGCTATCAAGAAGTCTACTTCCAAAGTGATAACCCTTTTTATGTGGCTTGTTACTTCTCTCTGAAAGTTTTTATATTTATTTGTTAATTATTTATTAAGCATTTTTTTGTGGCAGGCACTCTTAAAGATGCTTTGAATATATGGGTGAACAAAAATACAAGATCCCTTCCCTCATGGTACTTAATTCACATAGGGAGTTGTTCCAGATGGTAAACAACAAATATATTAAATACACTATACAAAATGTTAGAAAGTTGTAAAGTAAGTAAGTGCTTTAGAAAAGAGATAAAAGAGAGCAGGGTGGGACAGGGTGTCAGTAGTGTTGGGGGAAGGGAAGGTGGGGGATGCAGATTGTGGTATGAAATGGTGTGATCTTCCCTTAAACCACTTAGGTATTCTGAACTTCATAATGATGTGCCTTGGTAAAGGTTTTTCACTCATTGGGTCTGGCCCCAAATGGGCCCTTTCCACCTAGGAATCATATCCTTCATTTCTGGGGTATTTATTTCATTTGACTCTTTCTTCCTCTTTTCCCCCTCCACTTTCTTTCTGGATTTCTTGTAAATTGAATATTAGACCTTATTAGATTGATTCTCTAATTTCTAGTCTTTTCTCCTGTTCTCCTTCCTTTTCATTCGTTTTATTTCCTAGAATATTTTTTCAACTATATTTTCCAATGCTTTGATTTCATTTTTTAAAATAATTTTTTAATTTAGAACAGTTTTAGATTTGTGGGATTATTGCATAGATAGTACAGAGTTCCCATATATCGCATACCCATTTTCTCTATTATTATATCTTACATTAACATAGTATATTTGTCATAATCAGTGAACCAGTGTTATACAGTATTATCTAAAGTCCATACATTATTCACATTTCCTCAGTTTTCTCCTAATAGACTTTTTCATGTTCCAGGATACTACATCACACTGAGTATTGTTTCCTTAGGCTACTCATGCTTGTGACAGTTTCTCAAACATAATTTGTTATTGATCCTCTTGACAGTGTTGAGGATTACTAGTCATTCACTGTGTAGAATGTCAGTTGGGATTTGTCTGATGTTTTTTTCATGATTAGATTGCAGTAATATATTTTGGGAAGAAGACAACAGAGATAAAGTGCCATTCTTATCATATCATATTGAACGTACATATTATCAACATGACTTAACACCACTGATCTTAACCTTGATCCTAAGCTTGAGGTAGTGTTTGTCAGATTTCACCACTGTGAAGATATTTTTCATACTATGCCCTCTAGAAAGTTACTGTGTGCAGCACACGTCTGAGTGGTGAGTTATGGTCTGCTTCCTTAAGTACAAAATATCTATATAAGTTATTTGGAATCTTTTTGTATGGGAGATATGTCTTGTTCCCCCATTTATTTATTTAATCATTTATCTCATAGATTTTTTAATGCTTTGGGTTATAATCCAGTACTGCTTTATTTATTTTATTGTTCAGTTCATCTCACCTTTGGCCCTTGGGAGCTCTTTCAGTTGGCTCCTGCATCCCTTTGACATATTCCTACTTTTTTTTGTATGTGTGAAAGCACACGCAGATGTGTTCTTTCTCTTTTTGTATGTGTGGGGCACACACACGTGCACTTTCTTACAAGATGTTCCATGCTCATCTTGTATATATGTGCTGCCCCAGTCCTAGAATTAGTCATTTCTCCGAGGAACATTGGTTCCTTTGTTGGAGAAACCAGGATCAGGGCCCTAAATGCTTGTTATCATTGACATGTCTTGCTTCTAGGCCCTCTCAGCTGACAGAGCAAGATATACATGTGTGTGTTTATATATATGCATATATAGATGCATATATCTGTATACATATATATGTATATTTATATATTAGTATACATATATGCTAGTATATGTATATGATCTATGTATTTGATATTTGTATACATATATTAGTATATACATATATACAAATACTAATATATGCATTTGATATTAGTATACATATATACTAATATATAGCATAGATACTATATATAATTAGTATCTATATACATGTCATATATATATACACACTAGTACCTGTATATATTTCCATGTGTAATCATCTGTGCCATATTAAGCTAAACATGGGTTTATTTACACTGATGTCTCAAACTTAAATCCATTACTATATGGATTATTCTAGCTTCCTTTCCTTGATTATCT